GGAACCTACCTGCAGGGGGCGGGCCCATAGAAACAGGAAGTAGTTTTCTGACTGGGGCAATAGTCTAGGCTGGCTAACTTAGTAGCTTACAAACCACTTTAACTGACCTCACCTGCTAAGTGTAGGCAAATACCTGAAAGAAGGTCACTTTAAAATGAGCTGAATAGCGCTTTACTGATGTCTACAGTCTCACCATCAGTCTGTTTTCATATGATATGAAGATAAGTCGGCGCTGGAGTAGATAAATGTAATAAAGCTGCCAGATAGAACAAAATAAAAACCGTAGTTTAGTGTTTGTGACGTGAATCAGGTTGTGGGTTAGGAGTGTTTAGACTTTCAATTACAGATAGTTTATTAACACTTACAGCAGCTGTTAGCGTCACCGTTGCTAAATTCCAACATTAATTAGTTTAAAAAGCATTTTAAGCTGCATCTAGTGGAACTTATCCAGCATCTAAAGCTCCAGATGGATTCCTCTTGGGTGCCGTTGAGTGCTGAGAGGATTTTGTAGCTCACGTTGGAGTCTGGTGTTCTTCCTGCTTCGGGTCACACCCAGCAGCTGTCGGTACACCGCGGGCTACAGTCCTGCTGGAAAGCTAAAGATGGCCCATGTCAGGAAAATGTGGCTCCGCAGGCGTAAAAATCGCATCATATCCGACTTCTTTTAAATGACACGGACAGACGGAGCTGAGGACGGGGTGAGAGGTCACGGCACAGCTATCCAAACTGCCCCGAGTGATGCTAACATGTTGAGATGGCTGCAGAATAGCTGAATAAACACCAGAGAGGCTGAGATGATCTTTAGCGTGGATTTGATGAGGTGAGGTTGTTTTTCTTTTGTGATTTGTGTCAGGACTCAGTTCTGCCTTCATCTTTGTGTTTAAAATGTTCACCATCGCCTCTGTTAACCTTTTTATTAGTGTTTTAATATTAGATATGTGACTAAACGGCCTTCTGTCCCGTTACAGATGTCAGAAATCACTTATGCATGAAGACGCGCTGCGATTTCTGCATCTTTGTAGCTCAACGAGCTTTTAACCTTTTTTTTTTAAACCAGAATGTGTCTGCAGGATGTTTGTGTGTCTCTGCAGCTCACCGGGATGTTTTAGCAGCTGGAGGCCGTGTTTGCTTCACACTGTACTCGGTTCATATTTTAGCTGCTTGTTTGTGCAGCGTTCAGCCTACATTCCTGCCCATCAGGGCCCTCCCAGCATGCCTTGCGTCCCACCTGGGTGGCTGCTGCACATCTCATTTTAAATGAACTGACATTCGTGTCTGAGGTTGAAAAATAAAGTAATATATGAGACCAAAAAGCATCCCTGTGTTGGCATTTTTGAATCTCTATATTTAGTCTGATGCTCGTGAATCGGATTTAATTTGAGCAAATTTAACTTTTAAACTAGGGAAGGCCTTTTTCAAAATAAAACTATCAGTTCATACCCAACATTTGGGCTTTTGGGACACCAGAACCGGGGTGGGGTTAATGATTGGACCCTGAAAAACATATTTCTTTGAATTCTGAGTATCTTATATCCTAGTTATGTTTCTGCTCACCGGGAAGCTTCTCACGTTCAGGAACAACATTTTGAAACTGGAAACTTTGTTTTGGATCCTGAATCTCAGCAGAAACCGTCCGACAGTCGTGCTCGAGTTTTCCCCACGCTGGTCTGAAGGTTGTTTACTTTTTCATTACTGTGATTATTGACTTTTAATAGAAAATAAAATACACAACAATCACATTTCTATTAGACGCCGTTATGATTTATACATTTATTCTTTGGTTTACACTTTTTTTTGTCTCTGTGATAAGCCCCGCCCACACCGATCCAAACTTCTGAAGTTTGAACCGGATCCTGTTTCAAAAATAAAACCTCCTAGTTGGATCTCGGTACCTTTGAAGGCCTCCTGACACAGTGAGGGGATGTGGGGCGGCCTCCACCCGGGGTGAGGAGTTGTTTAACTGCTGGGTGTGACCCGCGTCTCCACCTGGCCAACCAAACACGAATGAAGCTGACCTCTGGGGGGGGGGGTATTGTCTTTGGCTGCAGGAGATCGAGAGGCGGGGTCCTGCACGGACGCTCTAAAACTGGGTTTCCCCTGATTGTATCGATGTGGACAAACTGAGCCAGGATCTGAACTGGACTCTGGGCGTGAGGAAATACAAATATTGATGTAAATTATACAAATCAGACTTGTAGACGATCTGACTTCAGACACGGTCGGTAACGCCTGTTTGGTAGCAGCACACGATGCAGTCTGATACTCGTGGTACGTACCAGGTACCTGGTTTTATTGCTATGAGGAGCTACTTGGGAGTAAGTGTATCATTATGTTTTTAATAGATATAAGTTTAGATTTGGCACTCCGTTCACCTTAAAATGAACTATACCTGATGTTATTGGGACTGTGGAGGAAAACCAGAGAAAACTAATCCATGTTAACTTCACACAGAAAGGATCTGTCTGGAATTTGAACCAACATCCTTTTTTGCTGAGAGGCCTCTGTGTACTTCTCCCTGTGATGACACTGTCCAGGTGCTACCGCCAGTGGAGACATGAAAAGAAGCATCACCTGTTCTCTGCTTGAGGGAACCATTTTGGACCAACAATCCAGAGACCTGGCTGGGTGACAAACAGGAACATGGATGGAGGGGCCCTCTCCCCTCTGAACCCTCATTGGCCCTCGCTCTGGTCTTTTTGTTTGCTGCTTCAGAGATTTGGAACAAAAGGCGTCCGTTCATGGGATTCCTGTTTTGGTTTGGATGCAGCCTGCACCGGTTTGCTCGGGATGAAACGTTATCGCGACTAGAGGAAACTGTTAGATCTAATTATTTTGATTCATCCTTAACGCTGAACTCCTGAAACTTTAGTTCTGAGGCATGTGCCCCCCCCCCCCCCCCCCCCCAGTGGTCCAATTCTCGGTGGTCAAACTGGTTAATCTTAATCCCAGCCTCCGTTAGTTTCTTCGGGAGTGATTCATCATTAAATCTAACTAATCAGCTGTGCTCACCATCTAAAACATGCAGTAAACCTGCTGGACGCGGACTCACACAGTTCTCTCCACCAGCTGGAACTGGACCTGCAACTCTGAAGTTGCAAGTGTGATATTCTGGCCACAGAGGGCAGTGGGGGCCTGAGTGACATTTCATTAAGAAGAAGAAGAAAATATCATTTCTATAGCGCCTCTCAAGATAAAAATCACGAGGTGCTTCACAAAAACAAAAAATGTAAAAATATAAAAAAGCATTTAGAAAATATTTAAAAATATATTAAAATGAGCAAAAAATAGGCAATTGTGATTAAAAAATGTTAAGAAAGAAAGAGAGTGAATAGGAAAGAGGGAAATCAGTGGATCCTGAGGAAGGTGGAATAATGATAAATGACCCACACTTGTATAGCGCTTCTCAGAGTAAGGACTCCAAAGCGCTTTACACTACAGTGCATCATTCATCCATTCACACACTGATGGTGATGAGCTACAATGTAGCCACAGCTGCCCTGGGGTGGACTGATAGAGGCGAGGCTGCCGAGCACAGGCGCCGCCGGTCCCTCCGACCACCACCAGCAGGCAAGGTGGGTTAAGTGTCTTGCCCAAGGACACAACAGCAGAATTCTCTGTCCGGAGCCGGGATCGAACCTGCAACCTGTTGAGCTACTGCTGCCCCAGGTGGCACCATGTGAAGGAAGAATAACTGTATCCTTCATTATGATACTGATGCTCAGAATGTGCCAGTGGGTCAGATTTGCCCCAGGTGGGGAGAGCAGAATAAAGAGAGAGAGGTGAAGAAGGTCATACAAAAACCAGCTTGAACAGGTGAGTCTTCAGCTGCTTTTTAAAGGAGACCACTGAGTCCACTGATCTCAGGCTCAGGGGGAGAGAGGTCCAGAGTCTGGGGGCCACAGCAGCAGATGATCTGTCACCTTTGACCTTTAGCCTGGTGCTGCACAACCAGTAGGCTTTGATCACTGGACCTCAGGGACCTGCTGGGGGTGTAGGGACTAAGAAGATCACCAATGTAAGATGGTGCTTGTCCATGTAAGGCCCTATAGACCAGAACCAGGATCTTGAAATGAACCCTGAAGTTGACTGGCAGCCAGTGAAGCTGGAGGAGAAGCGGGGTGATGTGGGTGTGTTTGGAGGACTTGGTCAGAAGCCGAGCACAGGCGTTCTGAACCACCTGTAGACGGTTCAGGGAGGTTCTGCTCAGACACGTGAAAAGAGAGTTACAGTAGTCTAAGCGTGAGGAGATGAAGGTGTGGAGAACTGTCTCAAGTTCAGAGCGGGACAGAATGGGACTCAGCTTAGCAACGTTCCTGAGATGGAAGAAGGAGGAGCGAACAAGAGAACTGACATGAGAATCCAGGGTGAGAGCTGGGTCAAAGGTCACACCAAGAGTCCTGATGGAGGGTTTGGTGTGAGAAGCAAGCTGACCAAGAGAGTCTGACTTTGGGAACCAGCTTGTCTGGGGCACAGATGAGGATCTCAGTCTTATCTTCATTCAGCTGTAGAAAGCTCCCAGCCATCCAGGTTTTGATAGAGTCTAAATTAACCCTGTAAAGAGTCATTTTAGCACAAATTGGCTCATGAAAATGATGTAGAAATATGAAACGGTTGCTTGGTTTCTCTGTAAAGGTACCGCCTGAGACTTCTTTATGGAATTTTTTTGCTACATTGCATTTGAATCACTCTAAAACGTGCGACCTTGGAAAAACCTGATCCAATCCAGCGCTGGTCCCCCTTCTGAATGATCATATCGTAACCCATGCATCAAGCTCCTCCTATGAACACTTCCTCACCATGCAGACTTTACTTTTTTTAATCAGCATGTTTTATTTACGGCCGTTTCAGGTATTACCTATAGATTTGAGATCCTCTTTCCAATACTGAGATAACTTTTGCTCAGAACTCAAGCTTTAATAATTTAGCCCAACTCTGGAGCCTCACTGACTGGAAATCATCTCCTGAGTGAGCAGTTCAGGTTTGCTCGTTTCCGCGTCACATGACCAGTGGCGGATTTAGCAATTTGGGGGCCCAAGGCGAACACAGACATGAGGCCCCCTTACACAAAATTTTCGACAATCTTATCTTTAACTGGATTTGTGAAACACTCCCCTCTTCTGACATGAGTTTTTTTTCATGTATTATTTATTTTATCTTTTTTCCTGTCTTTCCCTCCTTTCAAGTGCTTTCCTCCTCTGCTTTCTTCTTCCTGTCAGTGCTCCTGTGCTTTTGCCTTTATTGTTTTTTTCTTCTATTTTCCATTTTGGTCTATTTTTCCTCCCTTTAAACATTTTCCATTGTCTTTCCTTTTCTGCTTCCTTTTGATGTTTACATAGAAAAACGACGTCACTTTCGGAAGTGAAGATAAAAGCTTTTTTGAAGCGAGCTGCTTCTTTCTCTTATTGGAGCCACTAGGATAACTCCATTTCATGCTAAATGTTTTGACTCCCGCTTCGAGTTTGTTACGAACGCTCCCGCCTCTCCTTTTTTTCTGCTTTCTTTTCTTCTTCTTATTTGTGGTCTTATGGCACTTGGCAAACAACAATTTGGTGCATTACTGCCACCAACTGGATTGGAGTTTTATGACTACCAACCACTTCCTGTTTGTACATCTTTGGTGTGTTCTTGCTGTGTTGAAATTCTAATTCCATCTTTTAGTTCTTTTTAAAAAACAGGTTTTATTTACCTGTAACGTTTCATTTGCGGCTGCCAACTTCGTCAGGCAAACGAAACGTTGCAGGTAAATAAAACCTTTCTGTGTTTTAAAAAATAACTAAATGATGGAACTTCCTGTTTGTGCATCGGCATCTTAAAGGAATAGTCCATTGTGGCATAAACAGAGGGGTGCCAGCAGCAGTGTTGGGCAAGTTACTTCAAAACTGTAATGCATTATTTATTACTTGTTACCCTCATTTTAATTTAATTGATTACATTACAATATTACTGATTTTTAAATGTAAGGCATTACACTACTTTTGCATTACTTTAAGTTACTTTCACCAAAACAATTTCAATATGAATTAGGTCATGTGACGCTCAGTGAACTCATGACACATCCAGTAAGAAGGTGATGTGGTGTCTGAGCTAGGGTTGCTGTTAAAAACAGTCAGATATAATAACAGTGCTTTAAAATGATTGTTTATTAAATAAAAGCAACAACAATCTGTACTCTCAGCACGCTGCCATCTTATGGGGCCATCTGAGCAGGGAGTGAGGTGGTGGGGGCTCCAAGCCTATATTTGCCTTGGTCCCCAAATGCCTTGATACGGCCCTGGATGTGGGACTGACTTCTGGGGTGATCTGATTCTATCACATGTATAAATATTAAATACTTATATATTATTGCTTTTCACAGGTAAAAATGTGTATTGGGGATAAATCTACCTACTTTTTTCTTTTCAAGCACTTTGTTTTGTTTTCTTGATTTTATTAGAATCATTTCCTGCCCTTTCTCTCTCTAACCTTCCTGCATGCTGCATGTTTTCTCCGTCTTCCAGAAAAACTGTTTCCTAGATTTCCTACTTTCTAACTAATCAGCCAAAGGGTTCTACCGAACTCAAAAAAATAAATAAAAAAGCTTAATATGCGCTGCGCTCCAGCAGCAATTAGTTGAAATCACCGGGGCACAGATTATGAACTCAGCTGAGGCAAAGCACGTCAGGAAAGTACACAAAGTTCCAGAGAATATGGGCTGATATGACCAATCACAAGTGAATTATTTTGTTTTGGTGGAGCGATTTTGTGAATATAACAGCGGCCGCGCGCAGGACGCAGCTGGAGTATTTGAGCCATCACCGCTGAGTCCTCTCTGCCCGCAAAGCTGAGTCCATAAATGACGTCATATATGTGGATACTGGATACTTTTTCAGTCTTCCCGCAATTTGAATTTTTAGGAAACCCACATCTTGATTCTGGGTTTAAAAATGTATTGAAATTACCGCGTTACTGACAATTGTACTGAGTAAATATTACCATTTTCTTTCCCTGTAATGCCTTACATTACCACATTACAGCAAAAAGCAATGCATTACAGTAATTAATTACTTTTGTATCACATTACTCCCAACGCTGGCCAGCAGTCAGGGCTAGGGGAGCCCCCAACATAAGGGGGCCCCAGGCGGCGGCCGACCTATGCCGAATGGTAAAACCGCCTCTGCACATGACCAATGCATCCCAGTGAGAAGGATGCAGACGGGCATGCATGTGACTGGAGGCTTGATTATTTAACTGGTCAGCCTACATGCAGATTCCCAGGAGGGAAACGTGGAAACAGCCGGTGGGACGGGACCTCTCCCACACCAACACCACACTGTTCCCTCTTTGTTTACACTCCCCCTCACTTCCACAACGTTTTGATCCCAACAAAAACATCCTTTCACCCCTTTGAAGTGGGCGGTCAGATGAGGAGCTGGAATGTTCATACAGAATAAAATTACGTCAAACTGGCACCATGTGAAGGAAGAATAACTGAAACCTTCATTATGATACGGATGCTCGGAATGTGCCAGTGGGTCAGATTTAACTAGAACATTAGCCGGTTTCCTCAAACCAGAAAAAGCTTATTAAAGTCCTGCTTCATCAGCCTGCGGCGCCCAAGATGCAGCTTTTATCACAGCGACGAGTCGGGCGCTGCAGAAACTCGGACGGTTTAGTTTCACACGTCTGCAACCAGAAACTTGGTTTACCTGGCAGGTTAGGGTTAGGGTTAGCAGCTCGGAGGAACTTATTTAGTGCCTTTAGCTTAGTGAGATGTGCATTAAAATTAACGCAGCAAATTAAAACAAACTCTAAAAATGGGATGTTTAAGTAAAATGGTAATTTTATTAAGTCTGTTATTGATACCACAATATTAGTATTGCTATATTATTGTTAATTTACAGCATCTTACAGCCCTCCGACTGCATAGAAAAGCAAAACAAAGTCGTTCTCTGAGAGTTAAAAGGTGGATTTGTGCCTTTGTTCATTTTCCTTCTCAAATGGCTCTAAAACATCTGATCAGGTTTTATTATCTCTTTAGGACCAGAACGTGAGGAAGTCTCCGTGTTTTATCAGAAATGTTTTCCTCCTTTTTTCCTTTTTATATTGTAAAGGAAAAACGTCTATTTATATTTAACATTACGTTGCTATTTTTAAATTTTGATTACTATTTTTAATCGTTTCGATTTGTTTTCTCTGAGCTTTTTGTCCTTTTTGAAATTTTCAGATTAAGGCTAACGTTCCTACCCTCACCTGTGGTCACGAGTTTTGGGTAGTGACCGAAAGAACGAGATCACGGATACAAGCGGCTGCAGAGTTTTCTCTGCAGAGTGGCTTGGTCATCCAGGAGGGGCTTGGAGTAGATCTGCTGCTCCTCCACATCGAGATAAGCCAGTTGAGGTGGCTCGGGGATTCGATTAGGACGCCTTCCTGGTGAGGTTTTCCAGACACGTCCAACCAGGAGGAGACCTGAAGGAAGACCCAGGACACGCTGGAGGGACTATTTCTCTCACCTGGCCAGGGAACGCTTTGGGATTCCCCCGGAGGAGCTGGCTCAAGCGGCTGGGGAGAGGGAAATCTGGGCCTCTCTGCATAAGCTACTGCCCCCGCGATCCGACCCCGGATGAGAGGGCAAAAATGAATGGATGGAACAAATAAAATGTATGAATGCACAGCGAGAAATGAAACATTAACTTGACTTTAATCATCAGATTTGATGGTTTTATATGAATGACATGTTTTTGTCTTATGAAGCTGCAGAGTCCCTATCCCAGACACCATGTTAGGGTCTGGGAGACAGCAGGACCCTGTCCCCACAGACAGACACGTATTCCCACACTTGTCCCTGTAGGAGCTGAGACCAGATCAGACGTGGATCAGGGTTCATTCCTGGTGTGGTCTGGTCTAGGTGAGGGTCCACATTCCCAGGATTATATAGTCCACCTTAAGGCTGGATTTGTACGGGTGAAGAGGTTCACATCTTATGGACACAGGAAATTATCTGTCTGAAGTCTGGATGTGTGTCAGTGGATCCCGAATACAACCCAGAGGATTTACGAGGAGCTCCGGAGAGCTCAGAGCTGCTAGAGGTCCTGATGCTCTGCAGCTCGTTGCCTCTGGTTGTTCATGTGATGAACATCACAACCAAAGCTGAGAACACCATTCCTCTGTTGTCGGGGTCGTCACGTGCGTGTGACCATGGTCACATTTCCTGAAGAAGACACCGAAATCTGGATTTTAGTCTGGCTGCTGATCACATTTATCATTAAACCTTTATTTAATTTGACCTTGTTAGGTTCGAATAGAGCATATTCCAGTCCCATAAAAACTAACTATAAATATGAGATTATTATTCTTATTTCCCACAGTGGCTTTAAACAACGTTAGAAATCATTTTATAGCTTTTTTTCTCAACGTGGACCTTAAACGCTGCTCTTTTTTATTTATCTTGATAATCTGAAGAATAAAAAAATTCTTTTTGCTTTTTTGTTTGGACTTTTATCTGATTTTCACTTCTCTTTTACTCTCATTTAGGTCAACACCTGTAAAACCCAATTTAAAGAGCAAGTCACCCCCAAATCAACAATTTTTTTCTGATGAACTGCTGCAGACACGTGTAGTCAATAGTTTTGCACTTTAGTTCATTTTAGTTAAAAATTTAATTTTCTGCCTAAAACTGGCAGTGTTGTGCCGTTGTCGGGTAAAACCTCTGCACTGCATTTGAATTTAAATCTGCCATCGCTATTGGCTAAGAGGTACCCTAGAACATTAGGTGGTACCATATGATGTCACAATGTCGTTGTGAGCCTGTGTGTGTGTGTGTGTGTTTGTTAGCAGCTCCGCCCTCTCAGTCTGCCAGGCAACCGCATTTTTTGCATTTTTCAAACTGGAAGTGGGAGTGGAGTAACAATCTGGTAGGGGTGACTTGCTCTTTAATAAAGCAAAAGGCTGCAGCCTCCATCTAACAGGAAGGAAACCTCTGCTGAGCTTCCTGTTGAGGATCACACAACCGTCTGAAGAGTCACAAAGAAACAGCTGATTAGATTATATCAAACGTTTGTGAGAAGACCCGACTCTAAAACCTAAACCTCAACACACGAATAAACATAATAAACTCTACTTTCTTTTTTCAGAAGTAAAATTTGTTTTAGAGGGAAAATGAGCTGAATGAGTTTGTTTCTCTCATGTCATCTAAAAATACTCAGTTTACAATATCATTCCGTTGCACTGATCATTAACCCCTAATGTCCCAAAGGAATCAAATGAGAAGGATTGTTGTGTACGAGAAAGGGTTCATGTGGCTTTAAACTTTAAAACTGAACAATTTTCTCCTCGTCGTCGTCTTCCTCTGCTTATCCGGGTCCGGGTCGCGGGGGCAGCATCCCAACTAGGGAACTCCAGGCCGTCCTCTCCCCGGCCACCTCCACCAGCTCCTCCGGCAGGACCCCAAGGCGTTCCCGGACCAGATTGGAGATGTAACCTCTCCAGCGTGTCCTGGGTCGACCCGGGGGCCTCCTGCCAGCAGGACATGCCCGAAACCCCTCCCCAGGGAGGCGTCCAGGAGGCATCCTGACCAGATGCCCAAACCACCTCAACTGACTCCTTTCGATCCGGAGGAGCAGCGGTTCTACTCCGAGTCCCTCCCGAATGTCCGAGCTCCTCACCCTATCTCTAAGGCTGAGCCCGGCCACCCTACGGAGGAAACTCATTTGGGCCGCTTGTATCCGCGATCTCGTTCTTTCGGTCATTACCCAAAGCTCATGACCATAGGTGAGGATTGGGACGTAGATCGACCGGTAAATGGAGAGCCTGGCTTTCTGGCTCAGCTCCCTCTTCACCACGACAGATCGGCTCAGCGTCCGCATCACTGCAGACACCGAACCAATCCGCCTGTCGATCTCCCGATCCCTCCTACCCTCACTCATGAACAAGACCCCGAGATACTTAAACTCCTCCACTTGAGGTAGGACCTCTCTCCCGACCCGGAGTTGGCAAGCCACTCTTTTTCTATGATCAGCAGTTTCAACAAAACCGTGTTAACACTTATTGTAACTTTATTAATCCCCTCGCTCATTAACATAATGAAAGGCCAATAAATTAAATTACAGTGCAGCGTTTTAATTGTGGAAAATGCATTTTTAAAACTGATGTGAAATACACGGAGTTGGTGTTTCAGAAAACTGCGTAAGGAAAAGGCTTTTTAGAAGGATCATGATGACTTCTCCCATTTCAGACTGAAAAGTTTGGAGTAACAAGCTTTTAATCTGTTGGTTCATGAATGCGAGCCGATTTAGAGATTCTTCCCTGATCTGCCCTCTGATCTCTCTGGGTTCCTTCCTGTGGGTGACTGATAATAAACTTCACATATGTCAGATAATGGTAACTCCTGATTAGATGACACAAACACACACCGGGATTAACTAATCTCAGAGAATAAACTCCCACGCTGACTCGTCGCTGCTTTTGTGAAACTCATTCAAGGATTATTTAATCCAGGATTAATCCTCCAATCAGGTTGGTGGGCAGTTTGTCCTTAAAAATGTTGAGAAAATGACAAATAGAGGGCAAAAACCCCAATACGGTCACTAATGTTGTGTCGTTTAAAACGGGAACAAAAATCCAGCAGAACCTGATGGAGAACCCGAAGAACGCAGCTGACGGGTTTCTATTCTCAAGTGAAGCGCGATAACGCACATGTTGTATTTTATCTTTGTGATTGACTGTGTTGTCTATTTTCACCAGATTAGTTTGAATGCAAATATAAATATATGTTTACTGTTGATTAAATTAACAAAATCCTTATTCTATTATAGCCTTTTGAGAGACAGAATTCAACCGACGTGGCTGAAAAGTGAAGAATTGCAGCCAGAATTTCAGCAATTACGAGAAACATCTTACTTTTTACTATTCTTCACATTTATCTCCAGAAATTAAAATAATACTTGCCAAATTTTGACAATAAAGTTTCTTGTTTAAAACGTTTTTCATATTTTCTAAGTATGAATAAATTGTGTGTGTGTGTGACGGGGTCTGTGGTCCCTAGCCCAGAGGGATGCTGAGGTCCTGCAGTACCCACGCTGGCCGCTAGAGAGCGAAAAAGAGCAGAACGGATGAGAGCCATCGAGCCCCGGGCGTCCGGTAGGAGGGACCGTGATGCTGGTTTTTTTCGGGCTTTTCTGCTTGGCAGAGTAAACCACGCTGTCCTGAGTCACTTCTTCAGACCCACGGTGGATTCCTCGTGGCTGAGCCCAGCCTGAGCATCTGACCGAGGCGGACGGAAGGAGGCAGTTTCGCGTCCCCAGAAGAGAGGAAGAGGACGAAGAAGAAGAGCTAACAGCTCCGCGATGTCGGCGGTGAAGAAGAGAATTTCCAACTCCTCGGCGGCCAGGGAGGACGACAAGCAGGTGACGGAGAAGATGCTGTCCGCGGGCTACAGCCCGGCTGCCACCCCGGGAAGCGAAGCCAAGAGTCCGTGTAACCTGATCCCTTCGGAGGAGGGGGAGCAGGACGGGGTCGCGCTGAAG